CGTCAAGAGCACCAAACTATAATAAAGTGAGGATTGTTATTTACAGTTGAAAAAGCGTCAAGTGTCGAGGCAGAAACTTAATTAATAGTATACTTTCGCTCGATAGAAGTTTGAGCACACAGCACAAGCAAGCTTGTCAATAGAATATAAAATACGATTTCCAGATGTACTTCGATGTAACAGAGAGACTTCGCATGAGTTTGGGCAACAAGAAAAGAAAAGCGTGGACATATTGTTGGTGATGAGACCTTTTCCTTAGAAGCCGTTTAGTCCTGGTCCCTCTTCTCTCCTCTATCCCCCCCTCCTCCGTTTGTCTGTGTGTCTGTGTGTCTGTGTGTCTGTATGTCTATCTGTCTGTCTGTCTGTCTGTCAGTCTGTCTGTCTGTATCTCTCTCTTTCTCTCTCTCCCTCTCTCTCTCTCTCTCTCTCTCTCTCTCTCTCTCTCTCTCTCTCTCTCCTCTCCTCTCCTCTCTCCCTCTCTCTCGGTCCTGTTCTTTCTATCTGGAGGCTTTCAATTGTGTTTCTTTACGTGCGTTTGTAAAAGCTTGTGAAGTTACTACTAGATGGTTCCTTCAATGCACTCTTCTTTCAAACGAGATTACCCACTTTACATTATCATTAATTGTTGTGGCATCCTTCTATATGAATGGTAGATCTACAAACAACGAGGGGGATAAATTTACAAGCATATGAACTGGCCTTCTCAGCTAATGCCAGCTATCTGAAAAAAAAGATAAAAATTAAAAGTCGAATATAAAAAAAGTCCCTCTGATGGTAGCCAGTAAGCCTGGAGGACCCCCCCCCCCAAAGTACAGTGCAGTGAGCACATAGAGCTTTTTCACTTCTCTATACTGGATTGTTTCGGACGATGAGGCAAACATTTGGTACAGACTTTGCAAACAAATTGATGCCTTGGGTTCGGATCTGAATGGGATATTTTATCCTCGTCCTCCTTGGGTGGTTCACTTCAGCGGTCAGAGTCAGGAAGAAAGACCAAGTTGTCTGCTTTCGAAATGGTTCTAATTCTAATTGTGTCTGGCGGGGCGTATGACTTTACATACAAAACTAGATGTCCTGAGGAGATAAATAAGCACTTGAAACTGTAATATAAAAGGTTAGGATAAACTATAAAATTACTGATAAAGATTCCGTGTCCCCAGACTTCAAATATATTATGTATGACGTGGAACCGAAATGTACTTGGATTGATAATCACCAATATTTCAGACAGAAACTTTGGATTGGTCCGTTTTCTAAATGAATTTGCTCCCCATACACCTTTTATCCTGGTCCCGGTAATAATACATTACGTGTACTATTTCATGGTGAAAGTGCACACGATATGACATTTATTTAAGAAAGAATCAACTCAAATCAATTGTAGATAAAAGCAAACCATAGTGTTCTATTTCGGTGAGGTAGTTTAATGTCTTAGAATATAATACAACCATGATAAACTCACACAATGGAATAAAAAACGGATGCAATGAACTTAACCAAAAAGTAACAACGAGAAACAGGAGCCAGCTCAGCGGCTCTCATTGCAACAAAACATTGCTGTAAGCATATGCAATTGTAGGCCCATTGGTTTGTACAAAAAAGATAGAAATGGGCTTTCATTTAATAAAAAAGAGTGAAGATTTTCAGGTCATAGGGATTTTTTTTTTACAGTGGACGCTTAATACAAAGGCTGCTTTTTTCTTGGAGAAATACAGCCTTTTAATATAACATTTCACAACATTACTCTTGAGAAGATGCCGAGCTCATACTAAATCTGCCGTGAATTATGTTCAATGAATAATCAGAGAAGGCCTTCTTAGTGTAGAGTACACGATCTAGCTGTACAACATACTCAAAATTGATTGCCATTTGAAAGTGGGCAAGTTCTTCTCAATTCTCAAAATCGTATTTTGGGGGTCGGAATTCAAAATCTTGAAAGCAGAAAGCAAAGCTGCACACTTATTAACTTATAACACAGATATCTAAATAGCAATTATCGATTTAGAATAAAAATAAAAGGTGCATAAGATTAAACATGTGGAACGCAGTTCAATGGCATGGAGTTGAATTTGATTATTGCCGCTGGCAAACTTTCTATGGATCCTGTTCCTATTCCTTCGTGTACCTGAATGCTTCTGCACCTTATAAGTGCAGATTGTATAGTAAAAGGTGAACATAGGTCGTATAGAGGTATAAAGAAAGCTTTTTCCCTCGTCTAGCTGCAGAGAAAGGGAACCTTTTCAAGCATTCCCGTTATGTTGTAACCATACCGGGCATCATGACAGTTGCCAAGAAGGAAAGATTATAATGGGTCCCTATCGAACGACTTAAAGCTCTTATGAAAACCCTGTCTCTTTTAAAATCAAGCTTCGCTGTTGTACACCTTTCTGAAATGCTCTTCCGTACTCCTTCTCCCTTCTCAATTAATGCTGTAGGATACAGTTATAATTCTAATGAATCTCATTGGATGCCAGACCCCTTCTGCCGGGTTTCTTATTTCAGGAGAGCTCTGGATTGAGCAATGAATCTTCTTTCTTCCTTCAAGTGTGCTGAGCGTATCAATTAAACTCAGAAGTTAAATTCAGTCAACGTACAGAAGAAAGGGGAAATGAAATGCTAAGTGGACGTTTCATACCGGAAATGAACAAGCAGCATGGTTCATATTATTTATATCTTTAAGAGTCGACTCTCAACAACGCCTCCTTTAGGTGCCGAAAGCATCTATTAGATTGGCATGTAATTCCAATTAACTTAAACAGGCAAAGGAGACGAGACGATGGGAAATAAAAGAGACGATGGGAAATAAAAGAGACGATGGGAAATAAAAGGTTAGGTGAAAGTTGCTGAGCCAAAGAAGAGGCAACGCAATTCGTTTAGTGTTTGGTTCTGTCATAATTTGGCATGAAAATGAAAAAGGAAGTGCCTGTGGTCTTAAAATAAGATAAAAAGTTTGCTCCAATAACAGCTCAAAGCAGTATTAGAAACTTACACTATGCCACAGATTTACGAAAACTGCACAGTCGATCTGCGGTTTCTGAGATCAGTTTACATTTCTACTCATTAAAATAAACAGAACATAATAATTTGCTTAGACAAATTATCTTGAGCATTTTGGTAGAACTGAATTGGAAGCTAGTTCTTCTTAAAAAGAAAAGAAACTCAGCGCAGGAAAGAAGCCTTCATAGTAAAAAAATGTGAACATATCTTTGTTAAAGGACTAACAGAAATCTTTACCTCCAACCTCCATTTACAACAATAATTTTCTTTAAGGATTCAAAATAAGGCAACAGCACATGCAACTGGAACCGAAAGAATTCTTTAACTTTAAAAAAAAACAAAAACAGTTATCACAAACTGAAAATTTTCCTAAATGTAAAAACATCTAAGACCTGTTCAATGTTCTGAAACCTTCGCACAACCGAACTTTTCTTTTTAATATAGCTGTATTTTTACGCCCCCCGCCCTCGACACAGTTCAGATGATTTAGGAGGCGGGTTTTAACCCTGTTTGCCAGGGCCAATCGGGGCTGAGAGGGATACAACATCCCAGCACAAAGATCGACTCGAAAAAAAAATTCTCCCCCAAACGTGGATCGAACTGGAATCTTTCGTGTCCGCACGGCGAAGCGTCAAACTGCTACACCACGGACCCCGGCTACAACTACGCAGAAGTTGCAAACGTTTGATCTTTTGTCAGAATTTGCCAGTCCTACTCTCACCTCTGTGTTCTCCTCGTGAGCTCTGTACACCTTTGTACAATATATTACAGTAAATACAGATTATCTTAAGGAGGGCCTTCATGCGTATATTATTATATCCCTCACACTTCAGCCTTGTGTGGGGTCTTTGAAACCATACTGCCCTGTCCAAATACTGTGTACTCAATGTATCTACATTCGATCTGGGTCGGCGAAATTGATACAAAAATAATCATAATATTTACACTCTAGGAATCTCCCCTTTCAGTTATGTCATAGACGAGGTTATCAACACGTAGCAATAATAACGATGACATAAAGAGTGAAATACAAAAAAAAATGTACATCATAATATTAATTATAGGGAAGTGCATCGATTGGCAAAGGCCTTTCTAAAAGAAGAATAGGACACATTGCAGGCGAGTAAAGAGAAAACTAAAGTTTCACAGTTCGCAGTCGTTGTTAAATTGGTTAACATTTGAGTCCCACTTAACAAAGAGGGAACATCTCGTTGGCGACAGGAGTGTATATAATTATGTGTGTGTGTGTGTGTGTATGTGTGGGAGTGTGTGTGTGTGTGTGTGTGTGTGTGTGTGTGTGCGCTTGCTTGTGTACGTGTGTACGTGTGTGCGCGTGTATGTGTGCGTGTATGTGTGTGTATGCACGTACATGTGTGTGTGTGTGTGTGTGTATGTGT